TTTTATTTCCCCTTCCATGATATGTGCTCAAGTGTGTATTTTACATTTAAAATCTAATGAAAATTTGCTAAATTTGTGATTTTTATTTCCCTTTTGATAAAGCGATGCAACTATTTATACCATAGAGATTGTGGTTGGAATGCAACTTTGAAAATATCGGTTACTAATACATTGTTAAAATTTAGTAACAGGAAAAATTCTTTTGCTAATTTGTGGTCTATGTTACTTAATTTTTTTTCCCCAATTTGTTTTATGCTAAAAAAATTCACGAAGATAAATATTGCAAAAGACTTGAGTCTACTTCAAATATCACAAGATAAATTCTTTTGGTGTATCAAAAAAGCATTCTACCCCTATATTATTTTCTTGTATTTAATAAAATTTAGATGCAACAAATAAAATAATTCAATAGACTATGAGACAACAGATTTAACACAAAAAATAAAAATAAAAATTTGAGTCTACTTGTTACTCCACCAAAATAAGATTTGTTTTGTCCTTTTCATTCTCTAGAGGATTTTAGAGGAAAGTATGGTGGAACTTTGGTGGAAGCTAGCAGAATATGTTTCAATATGTGGAAGAATATGACGTAAGAGGTATGAGTTTATTCATATATCCTCAAAAAAAATTTCTTATGCTTCTAACCATATTTTATATGTTGAATGTTGAATCCTTCTTGCTTGTTTTCCAGGAACAATTAGAACCATTTAGAGCTCATGCCGCGGAAGTTGATTTGGCATACAGCAGAAAATTAAACGAAGAAGCTAAAAGTATTTATAAGGTAGATGATAAATTGATGCATTGGGGAAATCTTGTTTTTACCGAGTGTAAGAACAAGATGTGAGGAGGATTGTTTAGTTGATTGATTTCCTTTTATGTGATATGAAACATTTTCACCTATTTCAGATTGTTAGGCTATAATATTGTTTGTTGTACACTCACCATTTGAAAATTGAACCGGGATTACGAAATGAAACCGAACCGGGTTTGGTATATGTGACATTGGAGAAAAGGGTTTTTGGAGGAGAAAAAAGAAAAGGGGTTTTCTATCTTGACAAACTCCTCGACGGCCACAAAAAAAACCTTGATCGTTTTTTCAATGGACGATTTGATGCCTTGTCAAAGGTCGCTCAGGACTCGCAAAGCAGGTCCAACTAGGAGGAAGAAATCTGAAATCGACAAAAAGAAGCGTGGCGTAACCGATAACAAGCAGCGAAACCCTAAGGTTGTCAAACCCTAAGCGTGGTGTTTATGGAACAATCGATTTTACATTTTTTTCTTTCTTTTGTAGGGGTTTGCTGTTAAGTCGGCTGTGAAAGCAAAGCGTTTGAAGACTCGTTCTGTGGAGAAGGAGCAACGTCGACTTCATTTTCCGACTATTGATCGTACTTACGGCGAACCTCCTCCTTACGTTGTCGTGGTTCAAGGCCCACCAGGGGTTGGAAAGTCTTTGGTCATCAAGTCCCTTGTAAAGCACTTTACATTTGCCCCAAGTTCGAGGACCTATTACCATTGTAACAGGTTCTGTTTTCATTTGCTTGTTTCGTTTTCTTAGCGTCATGGATTTTGTACTCCTCTTCTCATGATAAGCGCTTGTCGTGGTTTTAGGGAAGAAAAGACGGATACAATTTGTGGAGTGCCCAAATGATATCAATGGGATGGTGGATTGTGCAAAGGTTGCTGATCTAGCTCTACTTCTCATAGACGGGAGTTATGGTTTTGCCATGGTGAGACACGATTATTTTTGTAGTGATATGAAGAAAGATATGATAAACTAAACCGTCTTTTACTCTGTTTGACTTGCAGGAAACCTTTGAATTCCTCAATATTATGCAAGTGCATGGAATGCCTAAAGTTATGGGAGTGCTCACTCACTTGGATGAGTTCAAGGATGTAAAGAAGCTGAGGAAAACAAAATCACGTCTCAAGCATCGGTTTTGGACCGAAATATATGCTGGAGCTAAATTGTTTTATTTATCTGGTTTCAATCATGGGAAGTAAGTATCTACAGTACTGATATAATTGTTTTTTGAGGTTCACCTTTTGATTTATCTTTTATAATTGGTAGGTATGTGCCGCATGAAATTCACAACCTCGCCCGCTTTATATCTGTTATCAAGTTTCATCCATTGACGTGGCGAACATCACATCCATATGTGTTGGCTGATCGTCTGGAAGATATTACCCCTCCTGAGAAAGTTCAGTTTGATAAGAAATGCGATAGAAATATTACATTGTATGGCTACCTACGTGGTTGTAACTTGAAAAAAGGGATGAAGGTATGGTATCAGATGTTTCTCCATTATTGCTCTTAAATACTGGTTTGTCTTAGCCCTTCGAACTTCCTAAGCCTAAATCCTTGAGCCATTTGTTTCCTTACCTGTACTTTCTGTGGTGCAAAATTGTCGGTTTCCTGGGGAAAAGACCAAATTTTAAACTGAGCTTAGGGATGAGCTGATTTTATCTCGAGTTGATATTATCTCTACGCGTTTCCTTGCTGGTGTTGGTCCATAAATTCTTAAGAACTAGATATTACATCACGAAAACGGAAAATAACGCGCTCTATTTATATCTAGCTCGTTTCCATGCGAAGTTGTAAGACGAGGAGCAGATATTTTTGTATATCCTTTGCTACGTACCGACTTTTCCTCAACTTCTTGATCTAAATGCAAAATGTTATCTTAACTGTTGCAGTTGACCTTGGTTTTCATGTTTAACATGCATCTGAAATAATGTCTTTTGATTATGAGGTTCATATTGCTGGAGTTGGTGACTACAGTTTAGCTGGGGTGACTGCCTTATCTGATCCTTGTCCTTTACCCTCAGCCGCCAAGAAGAAGGGGCTGAGGGACAAGGAAAAGCTTTTCTACGCTCCAATGTCCGGGATTGGAGATCTTTTGTATGACAAAGATGCTGTTTACATCAACATAAATGATCACCTTGTTCAGTTRTCTAAAGCTGATGATGGTAGAAAGGGACAAGCTACTACTAATAAAGGTTATTTACGGGGTTTCGAAAGTTTTATTGCCGCATACTTGCTGTATATTTTATCTGCAGTAGCCTCTTTCAAGTGTCTTGCTCATTTCGTGTTTTATCTCAGTAAAGAACTTCTATGCATTTATAATTTGGTTATCATTCTCCAGTATAGAAAAGTAATAATATACTTTCTCATTTTTTTGTAGCTCTAGGATCTCTGATTATGACGTTTTTTCTTGGCAGGAAAGGGCAGGGATGTTGGTGAAGATTTGGTGAAAGCGTTGCAGAACGCAAAATATGCGGTTGATGAAAAATTAGAGAAGACTTTCATTAATTTGTTTGGGAAAAAAGCTAGTGCCAGTTCAGAAAGAAAACTTGTGGCTGAAGATGAACCGGAAGGTTCTGACACCGAGTCATTACACGAGTCTCAATCTGGC